CTGCTCTGAGTGCAGTGTTTCCTCTAGGATGGGTCAAGATATGATGTCTTCATGGGAGTAGACTAGTTAGGAGTCTGCCCCATCAAAAAGGATCAAGTGAGGGGAAGAAGGGGAGTCTAGGTGGATGCCAGGAAGTGCATGCTGACAGCAGACTGATATAGCTATCTCCTTAGAGGACTGCCAGAGCCTGACATATACAGAGGTGGATGATCATAGCTCACCATTGAACTGATCATGGGGTTCCCAATGGAGGAGTTAGAGAGAATACTGAAGAAGCTGATGGGGTTTTCAGCCCCATGGGGAAAGCGACAATACCAACCAACCAGAGTTCCCAGGGTCTAAACCACCAGCCTGGGAGCACACAGGGAGGGATCCATGGCTCCAGCTATATAAGTAGGGGAGGATGGCCTTGTCAGTCATAGGTTGGAGAGGAGGTCCTTGGTCTTCTGAAGGCTGAATGTCCAAGTGTGGAGTAATTCAAGGTCGGGGAGGTGGGAGCAGGTAGGTAGGTGGGGACACATCCTCACAGAAGCAGGAGGAGGAGGAATGTGATGGGGGTTTCTATCTAAATTCTCTTGTATACTCAACACATTAGTAACATGTTTTGCTAAATTAATAATAAATGTAGTTATCTTAACTTCTTGTGTCAAAACAATTGCGGAAGCAGTGGTGTTAACAATTAATATAACTAAAGCTATTATATCAGCAATGATCAAGCAAACTACCCTCTTGCTTCTGGTTAAAGCCTAACTCACTTCTTCCAGTACTTGAAAGTATTTTTCAGAAAACCAAGGTTCTGTAATACTCAGGTCAGTAATACAAAAGCTGGTGGATAGACCACCACAACAGTCATGCCAGGTTTCAACATACTGATACAATTAGGAAGTAGACAATCAATGCAACTTAAAATAAATACCGTACAAGAGACCAAGGTAATTTTAACTTGACAATTAAAAGAGCCTTATTGCTTCAAGAATGGCATATATAACTTGATCATGCTATCCCTTTTTGTCCCAGGAATACTTTTATTCCTGTCTATTGTGTTAAAGCTTGTCTTTAACAACATCAACATGTTGGCAGCCAAAATACATGACTTGAAAAAAATATATGACTTGAAACTGAAAACGGACCCCCAGACAGAGTTAATAATTTAACAGACTGGCAAGCCCAGAATGGGGTAAGATTCGGCACAGAGCCTTACCAACCTAAGACAGAAGTGCATTCCTTTTGATAATGCATATTCCAAGATGGGTAAGGCAGTCATTCTGACAAGATAGGCTCAATCTTGTTTATGCTATAAAAAAGGAGGAGATGTGGAGAGCTTCTGGGGCTGGCTGGCAGGAATCTGACATTGGTGAAGGACTAGGAAATGGGCTTCAGGCAGGAACCTGACTTTAGGCTAGAACAAAGAAGTAAATTCAGGCAGGAAATCAAATCCTAGGCTAGAATAAAGAAGTACTTTCAGGAAGGAATGGAAATCTTAGGCTAGAACAAAGAAGTAATTACAGATAGGAATATAAATCTTAAGCTAGAACAAAGAAGTAGGATTTAGGCATGAAAATAATTTTGGGCTAGGACAGGGAAGCAGGCTCAGATATTTTGGCCATCTTGATAAGCCCTTAGAAATAGTGATCACAGCAGTGATCATGGGACTCTGTTTACTGCCTTTTGTATTTTTTGACTATTTGTGTTTACTGTCTTGCTTGTTCCTTGACTATTTGCATCTATTGTATTGCTATTTACTCAGCCTAGAACTGTCCTTAATACGTGCAAGAAATTAAAATAGTATAAAAGCAAAAAGAAGGAGGGATGGGATAGGTGGTTTATGGGGGAGGGAAAATGGGGAAAGAGGGATAACATCTGAAATGTAAATAAACAAAATATCCAATAAAGAAAGAACTGCTTGTAAGACACACACACACACACACACACACACACACACACACACACACGCAAGCAGGACATAAACAGAGAGATATCTTAGAATAGCAAATAAGCAGAATACAGAAAGAAAAATCTCCAGAGAGTAAACATAAAATAGAGAGCAGACTGAAAAGCTGAAAAAAGCAGAACATAGGTCATCAGGTTGGATCCACAATTGAGTTCAATTCAAACCTTCTTTTAGAACCCCTCTCAACGTAGAGGCTACTCCTTGGCAGGCAAAAACAAAACAAAACAAAACAAACAACTACAACTAAAACAACAACAACAACAACAGCAACAGCAACAGCAACAGCAACAGCAACAAAAAAACTTGGGAAGGAACTGAGTTTATTTCATTCCACAGGTTACAGTTCATAATTGAGGAAAACCAAAAGGGGAATCCTGAGACAAGAACCATAGCAGAGATCACTGGGTTGCTGTGCAAGGGCAGTTTCCTTTTCTATAAAACCATGGACATCTTTCTCAGGAGTAGCAATATCCAGTGTGACCTGGTTCCTACTACATCAATCATGAAAATGGAATACAGACATCTCATAGGCTAATAAGATGGAGGAATTCTTCCTTGGAAGTTAACTCTTGCACAAAGACTCTTAATTTCTGTCATGTTGACAAGTATCAAACAGTGCTACGGTATATCAATCATAACATTTTTCTTTCTTTTTGTTCATAAAATACAACTTTAAATATCCCCATAACCTTTTTTTTTTAAAAATCAGTTCTTAAAAATCAGATGGCTCCTTAAGAACCATCTGATAACTTGTAGCTGCCACTCAATCAAAATATGTTGTACTCTTACTCTAAGATTTGTGGGCTATGGCACAATTACCATAAAATCAAATTAAATCCAGAATCAAATATGCAAACACTTTAGTGTTTTATGTCATAAGACCCACAGCCTTGTATAGCTTAATTCACTTACTATGCCCTGCACAGCACATACAAGTTGTCTCAGAATCTCTGCCAGTTGGATTCCATACCTGTCATTGTCCTTGGCAGTTATCATATGATCAGGGCAACTCCAATATACTGGAGTTTCTACAACTAAGACTACATATTCAACCATGTCATCTCCTCATGGAACCTCTGACCCTGCCACACAATTCCAAGCCTCAGCTGCTCTCTATGAACCCTTCAAAACCAGTACCATGTGAGAGACACAATTAGACACAAGTTCTACGACAAGATGGACATGCAGACTTGACCCTTCCCTAGAAGAGAATTTATTGAATGACTCTATCTCTCTAAACTGTGGTCCAGCTATTCCAAAAGTGGTTGCCTCTGTACAGAAGGTCCAAAAATCCAGTAATTATTCACACCAAAGCTGAATATCTCAGCTTGTCTTCAGAAGTGGGCTCTAATGCCAGCAAAGGAATGACTTGCTAGAGAGGTGAGAGCAAGCAGGCAAAGAGCAAAAACTTCCTTTTTCTACATCCTTATATAGACTGACAGCAGAACGTGTTGTCCAGATTAAAAGTGAGTCTTCCCACCTCCTAAGATTTGGACTAAGGGTGAATCTTCCTGCCTGAAAAACACAAACTACGGATGTGTCTTTTCAACTCAAAGATCTGGAGCAAAAATAGCTCACAGGTGTTCCCCTCCATTTTTAGGTTTTAATTACTGATATAGTCAAGAATACCAACCTCCAGTATCAATATCCTAATACAGTACATTGGCACTGTACTGAATGAATACTTCCCTTTTTTTTTCAATACTTCAAAATGATCTTCCAGGTCACCATTGAGGCAGCCTGAGCTCTATTTTAGCATACATGTATTGTCTTGCTCATAAGGTATCTCTTTAAAGCTTCATAGTTTCTTGATATTTGTAGAAATGGACTCAAACATTCAATCAAGTTAAATATATGTCCTTATTAATACATTTTTCCAGAGTTTTAGTTCATGGTTTTTCTGAAATGTCTACAATATTACCATCGAGTAAATGATTAAACAAAATTCAATTCACTTCTTGGGGTTTATAGAATGGAATTTCTACAACCCTGCAGGACATAAGAAGAGCGTGATGGCAGTCAGTATTTGTCCACAGGCAGTAGTGTACTGAGGGTCATTGCTCTTTCACTGAATCATGGATGCTAAGCATGAGTTCAGAGCCATGCACGGACACAGCCCAATTTGGACAATGTCTGTCACTGACAGGTTTGTAACTGTATTTTCATTTCTCCCCCAATAGACCTCTCATTCTCTCTTACAGGAAAGAGAGTAGCTTCCACTCTTTGGTTTTCCTAACCCTCTACATTCTGTTTATGTTGAGCCCTTTTAACAAGACCAAATGTTACTGTGGCAGTAAGCCTGGAGAAGTAAGCACATACAATTTTCCCTATTTTTTATTGATTAAAGGCTTTCACTTTAATATTGATTTTCTGTTGAACATGATAGGAGAAAAATTAACAGGTTCAGAACCTGTATGAGAGACTTTCCTGGATTGGAATTGACCACAAAGTATGCATGCCACCTATGTCCATTTTGTTGTCCCAAACAGGTCTTTATTGGGGCTCCTTAAAGCAGCAAAATGGACGTAAAGACAGTTGCCATCAGGAAACTCCAACCCAACATGGAAAACAACTTATAGTCACTGGACATCAGAAGCATACTGTAGAAATTCAGGCAAATCTACTGGATAAAAGATGTCCTATTTTGGTTGTTCAGGTTATCAAAGCTTCTACTAAATAGCACGTGATCTGAGTTTCTTCATGGGAGTTAAGTAGAGTGAATCCTGTCAGTTTCATAAACTTCATGAAGCCATTTGGGAATTATATTTCCTGCCCTTATCAGCTTCTTTTCTGGAGAGACTATTTCAGTCTCCCAGAAACTGCTACACAAACAGCACCTTCTCCAGGCTTTTCCATATATATTTTCTTCATTATGAAGTATTTGAGGTTGAAAAAGTAGAATGTTTTAATGAAGTATTTTGTACATTGTCACATATTAAATTTTTTTCTCAGTGTAAACTCTTGATATTTTCTAAGATTTGAACCCTACAGGATTTCAGAAATTTCTCATGTTCATATTGATTTCCCAATGTGGAGCATGCAGTGGTTTTTAACGGCAGAACTTAGATAAAACACATGCTTCATTCATTACTGACAGAAACTTTCTTTCAGCACTATGAATTTTCTGATGTTTTCTTAGACCTGAGAGGTGGGTAAAGACTTTGACACATTTACTCCATTTGTAATTTTCCTCTCCTGTATGAATTCTATGATGTATTCTAAGTTGGACTTTCTCAATATAGCATTTGTCCCCTTCACTGCATTTGTAAGGTTTCCCTCCAGTATGAATTTTCTGATGTCTTCTAAAATCTGAGCCACTGGTAAAAGATTTCTTACATTCACTACATTTATAAGGTTTTTCTCCTGTATGAACTCTCTGATGTTTTCTAAGGCCTGAACAGCATGTAAAGGATTTCTCACATTCACTGCTTTTGTAAGGTTTTTCTCCTGTGTGAATTCTCTGATGTATTGTAAGTTGGGCTTTCTGAATGAAGCATTTTTCACATTGACTACATTTGTAAGGTTTTTCCCCTGTATGAATTCTCTGATGGGTTCTTACATATGTCAGTGGGCTAAAGTTTTTGCCACATTCATTACATTTGTAGTTTTTCTCCCCCGTATGAATTGTCTGATGGCTTCTTCGGTGTGAGAGTTGGCTAAAACATTTGTGACATTCACTGCATTTGTAAGGTCTCTGTCCAATATGGGTTTTGTAATGGTATTTAGTCTGATACAACTTATAAAAAGCACTTGCCACAAGCCTTACATTTGTGGGGTTTCTCTCAGAATGATTTCTCTGGTGTGTACTGAGACACAAATGTATTCTTTGATTTTGATTGATGATGGGAAACGAATTTAAACAGTATACAGTCTTTAAACTTACAAGGTTCTTCTTTAGAGTCCTCACTTTAATGTCTGTTTATGGTTGAAGACTCAATAGTTGCATCCTTGAGTTTACCATATCTGTACTTACTGCAGTTCTCTGCAGTATCATGAGTATTATATGGTGTACATTGAGAGGATTCATGAACCATTTTTCCAAACTTGCTACATTTATAAGACTTCTCTTGGATATTCACAGGCTGATGGACCATATACTGTGTGCCTTGCTAAAAGATTTTTTCTTATTCTCCTCTTATCTGATGGCTCTCTGGAAAGTTAACACAATTATGGATAATAAAGGAGTGACACATGAATAACAAATTCAATAACTGATGTTTCCTTAAGTTCTCTAAAGCATGGAACAATAGCAATTCTTAGGAATACCACTCTCAGCAGAGGCCTTCTGTGTTTCACTATCATTAAATGGAAGATGAGAAAAAAAGACCCACTGTGATCTCCACCATACCAAAAGCAACAATAACAGTCTGCTCGTTCTTATCTGAACTACTCACCTTTCAGAGGATGAACAAATGGGTGGTAGAGCAATAATAAACTTTGAGACAGTGGCTCTCTGAAGTGTCATAAGAGGGATGTTTCTCTATTTTCTAGTTGTTTATATTTTTGAGATAGAGTCCATCATGCAGCCTTTCTTGGCTAGGAACACACTACTTAAATCAGGCTCTCCAGAAACTCACCAGATCCTCATGCTTCACCATTCCTAGTGCTAGGATTAAAATCATGCTGAGAGACCGAATGTCAAAAAACAAAGAAAGAAACAAAAACAACATGGTTACCACCAACAGCTCTTTATTTTAAAACCTCTCAATTTTTAAAAATCAGGAAGAGATAAATAGTTTAAGTCAATATGAAAATGAAAATCGTCCAATTAAATAAGCATACTGCAAGGCATTTCCATGCTCTGAATATTTAATTTTCTTTGATCTTTGAAGTTTTCCTTAAGATCTACATCAGAGAGCTGGAGAGACTGCACAGGATATAGCATTGGTTACTGTCATAGAGAACAAAGACAAATGTAAAAGAAGCACCAGGAAAAAGTGTTCATTATCAGAATCTCCCTTATTTCTGGTGGTCTCTAGACAGTTCAAAGAATTTACAGACAAACAAAGTAGGTAAATACAAAGGACAAGTCAGGGATTCTACAAGAAGAACATTCTTACCTACAAAGACTAGATTGCTGTAATTCTCCAACATCACATCCATGTACAAAGCCCTCTGAGGAGAGTCCAGGCATTCCCACTCCTCCTGAGAGAAGTCCACAGTCACATCCGTGAACTTCAACAGATCTTATAATGGAAAATTACCCATTTACCAGGTGCTGCTGGGGGGAAAATGTTTTCTTAGGTAAAAGAAAACTACCTAATGAGTTAGAGACATTTTTCTGATATAGACTAGGACAATTACTGTGAGGCGCGTGTGTAATCGTCTCGCCAGCAAGAACGCACCACACACACACACCAGAATCCTTCCGTAAAAACACGTTTATTCCCAAATACAAAATGGTGGAAGAAGACGCCAGGCCCAGGAAAAGCACTGCTTAATATACCCTTGGAGCGGTGCATTCACCTCTGATTGGCTGCTTACTCGTAGCGTGCCAAATGCCGTGGGATGGGCTTTAACTTTGGCAGGCCTTTTCCATGGCACATGCGCAATTCACCTATTCACCAGGAAAAATCCCGGATGTCAGGCAAACGCGGCTTTAGCCAGTGCATGCGCGGCTTCCTACATCTGCCCCTTTTTGTTTTATTGTAGAGGGTGGTAGTTGAGATCCCTGGGAAGGTTTTGTAACTCCCATATTTGGGGGTCTCACGGCGGGTCTGAGTCTCTTTAGAGGGCAGTGGTCAAACTCTTACCCGTCACGGGGTCAGCCTCCCCACCCGCGGCTGCCCTGTCTTAGGTGGCCGAGGCTTATCCGTCCACTCCGTTATAGACTTTCCAGACCTTCTATCCGTGGAACGAACACCTTAGTGGGCAGGGACTGTGTATAGAAATGTTTGAGGCTTTACCGGGTGTCTTTATCAGAAGCCCCTGGGTACAGCGGCTGAGGAATCTGTCTACTGGCTATTTCTTTTTTGTTTTGTTAAACAGGCACTGGTCAATGTCCCGTGTCTTAGGCTAGTTGACATTTCTCCACAGCCAGCACCAAAGAATGGTGAGCTCTCTGTCTAGGCTACGAGGGTCGCGCACCCACACCTGGCATTCTCAGAATATGCGCCCCAGGTTGTGGCCACTCGTAATGCCTGCTACTGGATAGACTCACCACTCGTGGTGTATCTCTGGCATATGGGATCAACTTATTCCCGTCGTTGGGACCAATTGGCAACTGGCCTGGAGACAAAAGGATGGAGCTGTCTATCTGGCTATTCTTGGCCTGTCTAGCGTGGTACCAGTCATGACTCAAACTCAAGCCCGATCAAGCAAATTCCATCTTGGGGGAATAGGCGATCAAGGACTAATAGTTTAAGACAGTCTCCCTTACCCTATCAGGTGCAATGGAAGCGAGTCCTCTGAGTGCAAGGGCTAAGGGAAACAGAAAGAGATGCAAACACCCATCCCTGTGCAATGGAGTCATCTCCTAGGGGTGCAAGGGCTGTTTGTCTCAAAATTCAGGTACCACAGCTACACAGACAAGAATCAGCCAGGCCAAGACTCCTCACCGACCCAGTACAATGGGCAAATCCTTTGAGGTGTAACGCTGATGGCCTAACATTTAGCACCACCACTCATGAGGGGGAGACTACTTATTTTTGAAGCAGTGATAGCCACACTGCAGGGGAAGGCCCTAGTTCTTTGGTCACAAGCGCCTGGCCAATAATAGCCTTGTCAAAATTTTGTTGAGCTCTGAGTTTGCAATCCAACCAAAGGATGAATACTGATCCGCAACATAGGGCTTACCAAACAGGCCTACTCCCACCCACTTAAAAGAAAAGAAAAGAAGAAAGCTGAAGAATTCCAGGAGGACAGTCTCTCAGTCAGGGACAGATCCACGCGCGTCGAGTTGATGTTCACCACAGCTGTTCTCAATTTTCTGAGTGTCTCACTGAAGTTTTCTGACCAATTTCCTGTAAGATATTGAAACAATTTTCTGGACAGATTAGTTACATTATGTCTGACTGGTATGGGTTTTGGAAAGGCAGATAATATGGTCCATCATCGTTTCCCCGATATACTAGGAACCTGTATCCCTTGGATCAGCACAAGGGCTGTCATCAGAGCCTGGAGGGTCCGCCTGGGTGTCACCTTCCAATATCGCAAGTCGCCGCGTCAGCCACTCTGGTAGCCAAAACGGGTTGTCTTCTTCCTGTGGGAACACACAAACCGCTCCCCTGGCTCTTAATAAAACAATATCTGGGCCCTTCCATTGTCCGGTCAAAATGTCTTTCCATTTTACCATCTCTTTCGGCCTGTCAGGCTCTAAACAGTGACGGTCAGCAGCCGAATGGCCCTGACTGTCCAGGTTTAAAATATTGAGAGTAAAAAGTGCTATAGAAACGGTGACTCGTGGCACTAAGGGCAGAGTCTCCTCTACTCCTCCCTTTTGTTTTATTAGATAAGACTTAAGAGTGCGATGAGCCCGTTCTATGATGCCCTGTCCCTGAGGGTTATAAGGGAGGCCTGTCAGATGGGTTACCTCCATTTGGAGACAAAATTGTCTAAACTTTTGAGAAGTGTATGCTGGCCCATTGTCCGTTTTAAGAATTTTAGGCTTCCCCCAGGCACTCCATGCCTCAAGGCAGTGTTGAATAACATGTGCTGCCTTTTCTCCGGTCAACGGAGAAGGAAATATAATTCCAGAATAAGTGTCAATGGAAACATGTAAATATTGTAATTTGCCAAAGGTTGGGATGTGAGTGACATCCATTTGCCAAATTTGTAGTGGCCGAATTCCTCGTGGATTAATTCCTACATGAGGCACTGGTAAAAATTGACAGCAATTCTGACATTGAGTAACTATATCTCTAGCTTCCTTTCTAGTTATCTCAAACCGACGACGTAACGTCTCTGCTGTCACATGAAAGTTTTTATGAAAATCTTTGGCCAAATCTAATTTTGAAGATAGGGCGATAGCAACCAATTTTGTGGCTCGATCTGCTAGGTCATTCCCATGAGACATTGGACCTGGTAGACCTGAGTGAGCCCTGATGTGTGTAATAAAAACCGGAAATCTCCTATTAACTAAGGCGAATTGAATCTTTTGAAAAACTTTTACAAGTCTACTAGATGGTCTAATTAGCCCAGCCACTTCTAAGGCTTTAACTGCATTTACTACATAAAAGGAATCTGAAACAATATTTAAAGGGCCTGGAAAGGTTTCAAGAACCTCCAAAACTACCAAGCATTCCACAACTTGAGGTGAAGTCTCCTGGTATTGTTTGGCAGTGACCTTATTATCAATTACATAAGCACCCACACCTGTCTTTGACCCATCTGTGTAAACGACCACTCCATCCAGGAGCGGCTTTTGAGATAAGACATGTGGAAATACAATAGCTTGAGTTAAGGCAAACTGTAAAATGGGATGTTTAGGGTAGTGATTATCTATTTGACCATTAAAGGAGGTAACCAACACGGCCCAAACATCAGAGGTAGCAGTTAATATTTGAACCTGATGTGCAGTATAAGGCACTATTAAAACCTTAGGCTCCCTTCCAAAATGAGTGACAGCTGCTTTTAATCCCCGTAAGGCAAGCTGAGCAACCGCATCTGGATACCATTCAATAATCTTTGCAGGAGATGCATTAGGATGAATCCATAATAAGGGCCCATCCTGCCATAACACGGCAGTTGGTAAATGTCTGGTTTTAAAGACACACAAATTAAAAGTTTTGGTCTCATCAATGCGTTTTAGCTGAACTTTTTGCAAGGCATCCTCCACCAATCGCAGGGCATGATTTGCAGCCGGTGTTAATGCTCTTGGTGAGGAAATATGGGAATCTCCTTTCAGAATGTCAAACAAAGGTTTTAATTCAGCAGAGGGAATTTTCAAAAATGGTCTTAACCAATTTATATCACCTAGTAACTTTTGAAAGTCATTTAAGGTATGTAAATGATCTCTGCGAATTTCTAATTTTTGAGGAACTATTTTTTCAGGGTAAATAACTGTCCCTAAAAAGGAACCGATTTTTGAAATTTGAACCTTCTCTGTGGCATTTTCATATACTAATTGTTCGATCAATGGCTTGACTTGCTCTGGGTCTCCAAAAATCTTGCCTGCTACTTTTGTCATTCTAGCAACAAATTCTGAGAAGGACTCCTGGGGGGCTTGTAATATTTTTGTTAAATTTCCTCCAGCCTCGCCCTTTTTCGAGAGGGCCTTCCATGCCTTAATTGCGGCGGTGGAAATCTGGCCATATGCTTCCCAATCATATTTAATCTGGTCGGCAACATACTGTCCTTGCCCTGTTAATAATTCAAAAGTCCACTGTCTCTGGTTGCCCTCCGCATTAGCGTTGGCCTTTGCCTGTGCTTGAGAAGCGTTGTGCCACAAAGCCTTCCATTCCATATACTGTCCCATATTAGGGAGAGCAGCTTTTACTGTGTTCTGCCAATCATTCGGAGTCATTGCCATAGTGGCAAATCTCTCAAGCTGCATAATTGTAAAATTAGCATCAACTCCATACTTGTTAACCGATTCAGCAAATTCTTTAATAGAAGCATACTCTACAGGTGCGTGGACACGACCTCTTCCTGCGTCCTCAAACACTGGAAAAGCTTGTAACATTTTTCTCTTGTCTTCCTCTGAAAGGAAGGAGCCTGAGCAGCGTCTGTCCACATAAGGCGGAAGTGTGCCGAGAACATTAGGTTGGGAGGGCGCTACAGGCCAAGAGGCCGTCCGGCTTCTATCTCTCGTTTTCCTCTGCTTTAGATTTCGCGGCGGCAACTGTTTATCTGGCTGGCATCTTTCCTCTTCATCTATCTCTTCATCTGAGTCCTCTGACTCGGAGGAAGTTAGCCCCTCCGATTCAGAGGCATCAAGCCTCAAAACTTCCTTTACCGGATAAAGAAATCTCTTTCTGAGGCTTACGTTCCTCCCGTCTCTCCCAAGGGTGTTCTTCCCCTCATCTTTCATCCCCGTAGATTGTTCCTTGGGGAGGCTTGATTTCTTTAATATATCCTTTTTCCCTTTTCCTTTCTGAATTTCTAAGAGCTTCCTTCTTTTCTCTGTTTCTGACATCCTAACCCGTAATCCGTCTGCCACTCCCCGAACCGCCACGAAAACCAAAAGGAAGAGAACTAACGCTACCAGCACCATAGCGAGAGCCTCTAAAGTTCCTGCCAACTGGGGAGGGAAATAAATTAAATCAAGTCCAAACATATCTCTCAGAGAGCATTACCTTGCGTAGAGGACGAGTGGAGGGCCTTCTTAAACAGCGCCGGCGATGGTAAATTCTCCTGGGTTTCTCGGCACCAACTGTGAGGCGCGTGTGTAATCGTCTCGCCAGCAAGAACGCACCACACACACACACCAGAATCCTTCCGTAAAAACACGTTTATTCCCAAATACAAAATGGTGGAAGAAGACGCCAGGCCCAGGAAAAGCACTGCTTAATATACCCTTGGAGCGGTGCATTCACCTCTGATTGGCTGCTTACTCGTAGCGTGCCAAATGCCGTGGGATGGGCTTTAACTTTGGCAGGCCTTTTCCATGGCACATGCGCAATTCACCTATTCACCAGGAAAAATCCCGGATGTCAGGCAAACGCGGCTTTAGCCAGTGCATGCGCGGCTTCCTACAAATTACAAATGACAAAATTTTCTAGAGGTGGTACAGAGGTGGTTCAGAAAGAAAGAGCACTAGATATTCTTCTATAGGACTCACACTTGGTTCTCAGCACCCACATTGTACAAAGCAGAGTTTCTACCTCCAGTTCTATCAGACATAATACTTTCTGCTGAATTCTGAAGGCAGAGCATCATGAATACACTTAAGCAAATATACTAACACAAACATAAAATAAAAATGAAAGTTAATTTTAACAAGGGATACTTTGAGCTGGGCATGGTGACACATGCCTTTAATTCCAGCACATGTTAGAAAGAGGCAGGCAGACCTCGGTTTGTTCAAGGCCAGCCCAGTCTACAGAGAAAGTTCTAGGGCAGCCATGGTTACACACACACACACACACACACAAACACACACACACACACACACACACACACACACACACACACAACCTTTCTCAAAAAAAATAAAAAAAATAAGGGCTGGAGAGACGGTTCAGCACTTAAGACCAATGAACATTCTTCCCGAAGTCCTGATTTCAAACTCCAGCAACTACATGATAGCTTACAATCATAATGGGAAATGATGCCCTCTTCTGGTGTGTCAGAGGAGAGCAGCAGTCTACTCACATACATAAAATGAATAAATCTTTTTAGAAAATTAAATAAGCCAAAAGGACACTCTCCAGAATAGTCATGCTCTATCTTGTATTTCCTATCTCAGTGAAAATAGCATCATTGTGATGATGGTCTTACAATAAGCAAGCTTCTAGAGACTATAAAATACATTTGAGGTCTGCATGTAGAAATGTAATTCTATAAAAGCTGTATATGTATCAAACAGGATCACGGTGTCTCCTCCTCTCAGATGGAGAAATTATGAGAAAAAATGTACTTCCAAATTGTCCAACTGTCGATGTTGTTGAAATACGAGCTCTAGATCAATCCTGTCTGCATTTGGGTCCCAACTGACTGTATTCTAAAATGCTCAGTTCAGATGCTAAGGCCTATGTGCAGTGCCACACCCTTTCTAAAAAAAAGAATATGGAATGCAGAATACATGCATGAGTAAAAATTCATGGATAAGTGCAATTTGGCATGCTGGGGTTTTGGGGAGCTTAACGGGTCCTGAGTCTACTGGGCACTCCATGGATGTGGGCCTTTGAGAGGTTTCCTTACCAGTTACCCTTTGTTCATTAGAACTCATGGGATGCCTTCAGGCTGTGGTGTCCTCAGGGGAACAGATCTGCAGGGTAGAACATGCCTGCTGGAAGAGCTCTACATCATTTTCATATAATTCAAAGTACTTGTTATGAAGGCAGAGTCACAAGGAGACAATATCTCAGTGGTATCTCAGTCCTAAGACCACTGATAATGAGGTTTCTTATGGTTTTAAGCAACCCCTGTGAGAGGTTCACTCTACCCTCAAAGCTGTTGCTACCCATGGGTTGAAAAACATTGCTCTAATATTCATTTCATGTTACAAGTCTGGAGAAAATATTAATGGATTTGGTACTTTTTTTTGGGGAGACACAACATATATATCCATCTATCCATACCAAGTGGATATTGAAAACAATCAAGTCCAACTTGTTGAACCAATGATCTTTATTGGAGTTCCATACAGGACTCAGGGGAAGGAATTAGGAAATGAGAGCCCAAAGGACTCAATGACAATTGCTATCCTGAAATTTAAAATCATCATATAATACAGATTATGAATACTGGACTCTGGCAGCAAACTGCATATCCATATGCATATCTACAGGATAAAAAGTATCCTATATTTGTGGCTCAGTTTGTCAAGTCCACTTTTAAGTCCACTTTTTAAAAGAAGTGTAATTTGTTTAAGTATCTTAATTTGATTTAAGCATACAAATGCTGTCTGTTTTACTGTCTGTTTACTCTGTTTTACTGTTTGAGACACGTATTTCCCACCTGCTCTTTGAAATAGATCATTTTAGACTCTAGGAAACTTTACACAATTCCATATTCTTCTAGCTTCTCCATCATGTATTCATTATGAAAAGTTTGAAAATGAACAAGTAAAAACTTTTAATGAAATATTTCCTTCATTGTCACATTTTCAGTTTCTCTCAGCATAAATCCTGGGTACTTTAAAAGATTGGAGTATCAAACACTTTCACAAGTTTCTCATACACACAATAAACAATTCTTTAGTGTGGAGTCTCAATTGTTGCAAACGATACAGATTAAATAAAGCACATGCCACATTTTTCCCCTCCAGTGGACACTTTTTTCTGACTAAAAATTTCTAGGTATTTTCTTAGTACTGAGATTTGGGCAAAGGAAAGCCTCATACATTACATGTCTGAGGTTTTTCTCCTGTAAGCATTCTTTAATGAACCAACAGTAAAAGATTTGTACATTTACTACATTTATAAAGACCCCCTTATATGTATTCTCTGATAAATTCTAAGATGATCCTCCTTGGCCATGGTTTTTCTCATTCTCATCATTTGTTAAATTTCTCTACTGTACACATTCTCTGGTGAGTGATAAGATTGATTCTGGCTCGAGAATTCATCACACTCACTATATTTTTAAGGTTCTTCTCCCGCATTAATTCTCTGATAAATTCTAAGACTGCTTTCGCAGGTAGAGTATTTGTCACATACACTAGATTTGAAAGGTGAAGAATTTGTCACATTCACTACATGTGTAACCTTTCTCTCGTATATGAACTATCTGATGAATAATAAGATTGAATTTTGGGGGAAATCATATGTCACATTCATATTTGTAGTGTTTTTTTCTCCTGCATAAATTCTCTGATGTTTTCTAACATCGCCTTTGTGGGAAAAGCATTTGTCACATTCACTAATTTCAAAGGCTTCTCTCCTGTATGAACTCTCTGATGAACATTCAGACTCCTTTTGAGGGTAAAGCATTTCTCACATTCACTACATTGGTAAGGTTTCTCTCCTGTATGAGTTCTCTGATGAATAGTAAGACTACTTTTTTGGGCAAAATATTTTGCACATTCACTACATTTGTAAGGTTTCTCTCCTGTATGAATTCTCTGATGAATAGTAAGACTACTTTTTTGGGAAAAATATTTTGCACATTCACTACATTTGTAAGGTTTCTCTCCTGTATGATTTCTCTGATGAATAATAAGACCGCTTTTTTGAGTAAAGACTTTGTCACATTCACTACATTTGTAAGGTTTCTCTCCTGTATGAATCCTCTGATGAATAATAAGATTGGCTTTTTGGGCAAAGTATTTGCCACATTCATTACATTTGTAAGGTTTCTCTCCTGAATGTATTCTCTGATGCATTCTAAGAAGATATTTCTTCGTAAAGCACTTGTCACATTCACTACATCTGTGAACTTTTTCTCCTGTATGAATTCTCTGATGAATACTAAGATAGCCTTTGTGGGTGAAGCATTTGTCACATTCACTACAGGTGTAACCTTTCTCTCGTGTATGAACTATCTGATGAATAATAAGTTTGAATTTTTGGGTAAAGCCTTTGTCACATTCACTACATTTGTAAGGTTTTTCTCCCGTATGAACTCGCTGATGACTTTTAAGACTGCCTTTGGAGGAAAAGCATTTGTCACATTCACTACATTTGTATGGTTTCTCTCCTGTGTGGATTATCTGATGACTTCTAAGGCCACTTCTGTAGCGAAAGCATTTGTCACATTCACTGCATTTGTAAGGCTTTTTTCCAGTTTGAATTTTCAGATGTCTGCTAAGACCACCAATTTGGGAGGAACATTTGTCATATTTAGTACATGTGTAACTTTTATCTCCTGTATGAACTATCTGATGAATCATAAGATTGCCTTTTTGGGTAAAGCCTTTGTCACATTCACTACATTTGTAAGGTTTTTCTCCTGTATGAATTCTCTGATGAATTTTAAGACTGGCTTTGTGGGTAAAGCATTTGTCACATTCACTACATTTGTACGGTTTCACTCCTGTGTGGATAATCTGATGACTTCTAAGACCACTTTTGTCGAGAAAGCATTTGTCACATTCACTGCATTTGTAAGGTTTTTTTCCAGTATGAATTTTCAGATGTTTGCTAAGACCATCAATTTGGGAGAAGCATTTGTCACCTTCACTACATTTGTAAGGTTTCGCTCCTCTATGAAGTCTCTGATGTCTTCTAAGATTGCCTTTGTGGGGAAAGCATTTGTCACATTCACTGCATTTGTAAGGTTTCTCTCCTGTATGAACTCGTTGATGAATTCTAAAATAGCCTTTGTCGGTGAAGCATTTGTCACATTCACTACATTTGTAAGGTTTCTCTCCTGTATGAATTCGCTGATGAACTCTAACATAGCCTTTCGTGGTAAAACATTTGTCACATTCACTACATTTGTAAGGTTTCTTTCTATTATTCGTTTGTTCCAGCATGAGTTTTTCTTTAGAGTCAAAATCCTTATCAAGCTCTGTACCACTGTATTCTTTCTTTCCTCTTTGGTTTCCCTGAGTTAAACTAATGGTAGAGCAGGCATTTAAACTGTTTGCAGGGTTTTTATATTTGCAAGGCTCTCTGTTGTTTCCAGTTTCAAGCCTGCTTAGGTTTGATGATTCAACAGATGTATCCCTGAGGTTAGGTTTATAAGTTGTACTTTGGGTGGATTCATGAATGATTTTAATAAGCTCATGACATTTATAAGACTTCACTTGGATATTCACATGCTCTTGGACAATATGCTGTAGGTCTTGATCTAAGATGTTCTCATATTTACGGCACATGCCATGATTCTCTGAAAAAATAAAATGTAATTAGAGATGACAGAGATTAGTAGACGAGTAAGACAATATCCCACCACATTCCCTGAAATTTTCTAATGTAAGTCAGTGATCTCAAAGATAGAGCTTTCAAAAATGGTCTTTCCTGTTTCACAGTCATAACATGGATGCTTAGAACAACCTCAAGTCTCATCTATATGAAATAACAGGAAACAATAGCCTTCTATATCTTATTTAAACACTGTGCTTTGCAGAAGGTAAAAAGAATAGGTGATGGAACAGTAAAGGACTTTGAGAAAGGAGCTATCTGAAGGATCAAGTTAAAAAAAGTTTTCGCCTTTTGGCTGGGGCAGACACATAGCTGGTCTGCTCCTGTGGAGATACAGAATCCTGAGCCATTCTAGAGGAGCCACTCTATTCAGAGCAGCGGAGGAGCCACTGCACTCAGAGCAGCAGACACCTAGCTGGTTTGCACTTGTGGAGACATCGAATCCTGAGCCATCCTACAGGGACCACTGCACCCAGAGCAGAAGTATTTCCAGATCCCGGAGGTGGTCTGAGTCCCAGGAGTTCTTCCAACCAGGAGATTAGGATCATAAGACCACAGAGACATCTGGACTCTGAGGAGCTCTGCAACAAGCAAGATAACTAGAAATACAGACTCCAGTCTTACACTGTGAGGGCAGGTAACACTAGAGTTAACCAGATGGCGAAAGGCAAACGCAAGAACATAAGCAACAGAAACCAAAGTTACTTGGCATCATTAGTACCCAGTTCTCCCAATATAGCAAGCCCTGGACACTCCCTCACACCAGAAAAGCAGGATTCAGAATTGAAATAATTTCTCATGATGATGATAGAGGATTTTAAAAAGGTCATAAGTAACCCCCTTAAAGAAATACAATAGAGTACAAGTAAACAGGTAGAAGCCCTTAAAGAGGAAACACAGACATCCCTTAAGAAATGCAAGAAAACCCAATGAAGGAATTAAACAAAAACATTCAGGATCTGAAAATGGAAATAGAAACAATAAAGAAAGCTCAAAGGGAGACAACCATTGAGATAGAAAATCTAAGAAAGAAATCAGGAGTCATAGACGCAAGCATCACCAACCGAATACAAGAGATAGAAGAGAGAATCTCAAATGCAGAAGATACGGTGGAAAATATTGACACAGTTGTCAAAGAAAATGCAAAATGCAAAAAACTCCTAACTCAAAACATCCAGGAAATCCAGGACACAATGAGAAGACCAAACCTAAGGATAATAGGTATAGATGAGAATGAAGATTCCCAACTTAAAGGGCCAGTAAATATCTTCAACAAAATTATTGAGGAAAACTTCCCTAACCTAAAGAACAAGATGCCCATAAACATACAAGAAGCCTACAGTACACCAAATAGACTAGACCAGAAAAGAAATACTTCCCATCACATAATAATCAGAACATCAGATGCACAAAACAAAGGAAAAATACTAAAATCAGTAAGGGAAAAAGGTCAAGTAACATATAAAGGCAGACCTATAAGAATTACACCAGACTTCTCACCAGAGACTATAAAAGCCAGAAGAGACTGGACTGACATCGTACAGACCCTAAGAGAACACAATTGCCATCCCAGATTACTATACCCAGCAAAACTCTCAATCACTATAGATGGTGAAACCAAGATATTCCATGACAAAACCAAATTTGCACAATATCTTCCCACAAACCCAGCACTTCAAAGGATAATTGATGGAAAATGCCAACACAAGGAGGGAAACTACAACCTAGAACAAGCAAGGAAGTAATCTTCCAACAACCTCAAAAGAAGATAACTATACAAACATAATTCTACCTGTAATAAAAAAATAACAGGAAGCCACAATCATTTTTCCTTAATATCTCTTAACATCAATGGTCTGAATTCTCCGATAAAAAGATGCAGACTATCAGACTGGATACACAAACAGGACCCAGAATTTTGCCGCATACAAGAAACACACCTCAGAGACAAAGACAGACACTGCCTCAGAATAAAAGGGTGGAAAACAATTTTCCAAGCCAACGGTCCCAAGAAACAAGCTGGAGCAGCCATTCTAATATCAAATAAAATCAACTTTCATCCAAAATTAATCAAAAAAGATAAGGAAGAACACTTCATACTCATCAAAGGAAAAATCTACCTAGGTGAACTCTCAATTCTGAACATCTATGCTCCAAATGCAAGGGCACCTACATACATAAAAGAAACTTTACTAAAGCTCAAAACACACATTACACCTCACACAATAATAGTGGGGGATTTCAACACCCCACTGTCAGCAATGGACAGATCATGGAAACAGAAACTAAACAGAGACACTTTGAAATTAACAGAAGTTATGAACCAAATGGACTTAACAGACATCTATAGAACATTTCATCCTAAAACAAAAGAATATACCTTTTCCTCAGCACCTCATGGTACCTTCTCCAAAATAGCCATATAATTGGTCACAAAACAGGCCTCTACAGATACAAAAAGATTGAAATAATCTCTTGCATCTTATCAGATCACCACTGACTAAGACTGGTCTTTAATAATGACAAAACCAATGGAAAACCCACGTGCACATGGAAACTGAACAACTCTCTACTCAATGATGACTTGGTCAAGGAAAAAATAAAGAAAGAAATTAAAGACTTTTTAGAATTCAATGAAAATGAGGACACATCATACCAAAACTTGTGGGACTCCATGAAGGCAGTGCTAAGAAGAACACTCATAGCTCTAAGTGCCTACAAAAAGAAACTGGAGAGAACACACACTAACAACTTGACTGCACAACTAAAAGCTCTAGAACAAAGAGAAGCAAATACACCCAGGATAAGTAGAAGGCAGGAAATAATCAAACTCAGGGCTGAAATCAACCAAATAGAACAGAAAGAACAATACAAAATATCAACAAAACCAGGAGCTGGTTCTTTGAGAAAATCAACAAGATAGATAAACACTTAGCCAGATTAACCAGAGGACACAGAGACAGTATCCAAATTAATAAAATCAGAACTGAAAAGGGAGACATAACAACAGAAACTGAAGAAATTCAAAAAATCATCAGATCCTACTACAAAGGCCTATACTCAACAAAACTGGAAAACCTGGATGAAATGGACAACTTCCTAGACAGATACCAGGTACCAAAGTTAAACCAGGAGCAGATAAACCATCTAAATAGTCCCATAACCCCGCAGGAAATAGCAGCAGTCATTAAAAGTCTCCTCACCAAAAATAGCCCAGGAGCAGATGGTTTTAGTGCAGAATTCTATCAGACCTTCAAGGAAGACCTAATACCAATTCTCTTCAAACTATTCCACAAAATAGAGACAGAAGGAACACTACCCAATTCCTTCTATGAAGCTACAATTACACTCATACCCAAACCCCACAAAGACCCGACAAAGAAAGAGAACTTCAGACCAATCTCCCTTATGAGCATCGATGCAAAAATACTCAATAAAATTCTAGCAAACTGAATCCAAGAACACATCAAAACAATCATCCATCATGATCAAGTAGGTTTTATCCCAGGAATGCAGGGATGGTTAAATATTTGGAAATCTATCAATGTAATTCACTATATAAACAAACTCAAAGAAAAAAAACCACATGATCATATCACTAGATGCTGAGAAAGCATTTGACAAATTCAACATCCCTTCATGATAAAAGTCTTGGAAAGATCAGGAATTCAAGGCCCCTACCTAAACATAATAAAAGCAATTTACAGCAAACCAGTAGCCAACATCAAACTAAATGGAGAGAAACTTGAAGCAATCCCACTAAGATCAGGGAATAGAAAAGGCTGCCCACTCTCCCCCTACCTATTCAATATAGTACTGCAAGTCCTAGCCAGAGCAATTAGACAACAAAAAAAAGTCAAAGGGATACAAATAGGGAAGGAAGAAGTCAAAATATCACTATTTACAGATGATATGATAGTATACTTAAGTGACCCCCAAATTTCCACCAGAGAACTCCTAAACCTGATGAACAACTTCAGCAAAGTGGCTGGTTATAAAATCAACTCAAACAAATCAGTAGCCTTCCTCTACATGAAAGACAAACAGACTGAAAAAGAAATTAGGGAAATGACACCCTTCACAATAGTCAGAAATAATATAAAATACCTTGGTGTGAATCTTACCAAGCAAGTGAAAGACCTGTATGACAAGAACTTAAAGTCCCTGAAGAAAGAAATCGAAGAAGATGTCAGAAGATGGAAAGATCTCCGATGCTCATGGATTGGCAGGATTAATATAATAAAAATGGCCATCTTGCCAAAAGCAATCTACAGATTCAATGCAATTCCCATTAAAATCCCAACTCAATTCTTCACTGAGTTAGAAAAGGAAATTCTCAAATTCAATTGGAATAACAAAAAACCTAGGATAGCGAAAACTATTCTCAACAACAAAAGAACTTCTGGAGGAATCATCATCCCTGACCTCAAGCTGAACTACAGAGCAACAGTGATAAAAACTTAATGGTATTGGTACAGAGACAGGCAGGAAGATTAGTGGAATAGAATTGAAGACCCAGAAATGAACCCACACACCTATGGTCCCTTGATCTTTGACAAAGGAGCTAAAACTGTCCAGTGGAAAAAGGACAGCATTTTCAACAAATGGTGCTGGTTCAACTGGAGGACAACATGTCAAAGAATGCAAATTGATCCATTCTTATCTCCTTATACAAAGCTCAAGTCTAAATGGATAAAGGACCTCCACATAAAACCAGATATACTGAAACTAACAGAAGAGAAGGTGCGGAAGAACCTTGAAAACTTGGGCACAGGGGAAAAGTTCCTGAACAGAACACCAATGGCATATGATCTAAGATCAAGAATTGGCAAATGGGACTTCATAAAATTGCAAAGTTTCTGTAAGGCAAAGGACACTGTCAATAGGACAAAACGACAACCAACAAATTGGGAAAATATCTTTACCAATCCTACATCTGATAGAGGGCTAATATTCAATATATACAAAGAACTCAAGAAATTAGACTCCAGACAACCAAATAACCCTATTAAAAAATTGGGTATAGAACTTAACAAAGAATTTTCAATGGAGGAAACTTGAATGGCCGAGAAGCACCTAAAGAAATGTTCAGTATCCTTAGTCATCAGGGAAATGCAAATCAAAACAACCCTGAGATCCCATCTCACACCAGTCAGAATGGCTAAGATTAAAAACTCAGGTGATAGTAGATGCTGGGGAGGGTGTGGAGAAAGAGGAACTCCTCCATTGTTTGTGGGACTGCAAGATGGTGCATCCACTTTGGAAATCAGTCTGGCGGTTCCTCAGAAAATTGGAGATAACATTACCTGAGAATCCAGGTATACCACTCCTAGGCATATACCCAGAAGATGCTGTAACATATAACAAGGACATATGCTCAGCTATGTTCATAGCAGCCTTATTTATAATAGTCAGAAGCTGGAAAGAACCCAGATGTCCTTCAACTGAGGAATGGGTACAAAAAATGTGGTACATTTACACAATGGAGTATTACTCAGCTATTAAAAACAATGAAATTCCTAGGTAAATGGATGGAACTAGAAAATATCATCCTGAGTGAGGTAAGCCAATCACAAAAGAACACACATGGTATTCACTCACTGATTATTCGATATTAGCCCAGAACCTTGAAATACCCAAGATTCAACTCACAGGCCACATGAAGCTCATGAAGAAGGAAGACCAAGTGGGAGTGATTCGGTCCTTCTTAGAAGGAGCAACAGAATACTCAAGGGAGCTAATATGGAGACAAAGTGAGGGACAGAAACTGAAGGAGGGGCCATCTGAAGACCATTCCACCTGAGTATCCATCCCATGTGCAGTCACCAAAGGTAGATGCTCATGTGGAAGTCAGAAAGTGCATTCTGATAAGAACCTGATATAGATGCCTCCTCAGAGGTCTTCAAGAGTCTGACATATTCAGAGGCAGATGCTCACAGCTAGCCATTGGACTGATCATGGGGTTCCCAATGGAGGAGTTACAGTGAAGACTGTAGGAGCTGAAAGGGTTTGCGACCCCATGAGGAGAGCAACAATACCAGCCAACCAGAGCTCCCAGGGTCTAAACCACTAGCCTGGAAGCACTTAGGGAGGGATCCATGGTTTCAGCTGTATATGTAAGGGTTGAGAGCCCTTACATATACATAGCATAGGTGGGAAAAGAGATCCTTGGTCTCATGAAGGCTGGACGTCCCAGGGGGTGGGAATTTGAGGGTGGTTAGGTGGGAGTGGGGGGGTAGGTAGGGGTACATCCGCAGAGAAGCAGGAGGGGTGAGGGGATAGGGGGTTCCTGGGTGGGTGGGGGATGGGGTAAGGGGATAACATATGAAATGTAAATAAAACATCCAATAAAAAAAATTTTTATAAAAAGTTTCTTGATTTTCCTTTTTAATGTTTTGTGACAGAGTAATACAGTCAGCTAGGAATTCATTATGTAATCTACACTGGCATGGAACTCATGATATAGAAGCCATGCTGTATCAAAATTAAACAGAAAAACCAAAGGTCAAAAACTAAATAAATGAGGAACAACAAAATTCTCACAAGCAACAGCTCTTCAGCTCTTTCTCTATTTATAAACTTCTGCATTCTTAAAATTCATCAACAATTGAAGACTGAAATGCAACATTAAAATTAGAATACTCCCATTATTACAGGAGTGGCACTGAATATTCAGGTTTTTTTGAACGTTGAACTTTTGCTTAAAGCAGTTACATGTCTTGAGAGATTACACAGAACACAATACTGGATCCTCTCCTGCAGAGTGGAGAGAAATGTAAAGGAAACACAATGAAGAACTTATGTTGGTATCCAGAACTTCCCTTATTCTGGGAGTCTCTAGACATGTCAGAGAGTTGATATACACACAGTAGGTAAAATCAAAGAATGAATCAGGAATTTTACAATAAGGCTATTCTTACCCACAAAAAGCAGATTGTTGTAATTCTCCAACATCACATCCATGTACAATGCCCTCTGAGCACGGTCAAGACTTTCCCATTCCTCCTGTGAGAAGTCCACAGCCACATCCTTGAATGTTAACTGACCCTGTAATAGAAAATTACCTGTTTATCATGTGCTGCTGGACAAAAGAGTTTTCCTAGATGAAACAGACCTAAAGAATAAGGGTCACGTTGTGATCAATATGAGTCATGGGAAATATTCAAGGACAAACAGCATCTTCTAGAAGTGCTATAGAAATGCGTCAGAAGTTAAGCATTGCTGCTCTTATCAGACAATGCAGAGAATGACATGCTATATTGAGTACATTCCTAAGGTCTCTCTGTTACATGAATTTTCAACAGATGAATATGGCACCATCACTGCATTTGAAAATTGTGTGCAGGTTGGATTCTATGATCCTAAATTGTTTCCCAGCACCCACATGAACTACACAGCAGATGTTTACTTCCAATCCTTTAAAATCTAGTGCTCTCTTCTGAACATAAAGGCTGGAGGAATATATAGCACATATGGATATTTTCAGGCAAATGAACATAAAAGAAAACTGAAATTTAATTTAGTAAAGGATGTTACCTACCATAGTCTTAGTCTTTATTGTATTTTCCTATTCTCTGAAACAGGATTACATAATGGAATCAAAAACAGCAAATTTTTAGTGAATATAACATATGAGATCTAGATGCTGGAATTTACCATTATGAATTAAAGGGTTGTTATCAACCAGAATCCCAGTGACACATCACAGATGGTCAAGTTAGAATGAGTAAAACTGTGCTTCTAAATTCTACAGCTGTCATTCTTGCTCAACCATGGACATTATATCAATCCTGTCTGCAGCTGGGTCTCACCTGACTCTACTCTAAAATTCTCAGTGGACATCCTGAGACCTAGGTACAATGCTGTACCCTTACTAGAGCAAAGAGGTAGAAAGTGAAACACAGAATTGTTGGATGAATTAAGAACCACAATTTTTCTTTAAACAGAAAAAAAGTGTAATGTCAGTGAACACATTCGATATTTCAAAGGACACACAGTATAAAGTCCTTTATAAAGATGTTTTATGAGACTATATTCACAACATTAAAATATATAAAAGAAAAACGGAACTAGAGACCATTAAAATTATTTACAGTGTTCTCAAAGTTGACATATGCAATACAGATAATATCCATTTCATAAATTCCATATGGTCTTTTACTACAGAATAATTAGACACGTATGTATTAATAAATGGTATATGTGACAATGCACTCAGATGAGGTAGAATAATTCTCTTTGAACAAATTTTGCTTTTAAATTGAGAGAATTATACTAACTCTTTTAAATATATCATTGCTAGTGAGATTGACTTAAGTGAAAACTTGAATCTTTTAATTTTAACTTTCTTTTCTTTCTACACACATTGTAGTTAACTGCCATGCCTGACTTCGGTCCCAAGGCATTTATGTTGAACTCAGGGATTCACGGTCATAATGTGTCACTCAGTACACGTAGATACATGCAGATAAACACTTATAAACTCAAACACGTGAAAAGAACACTATTGTAAAGAAACAGCACCACAACCCTTCAGAGGTTTTCCCCTATGTAACACATCGCTTGGAAGAGAGAAAAAAACATATGAAGAATGGAACATTCTTTTCATTAAAGAGGAGAAGAGAACAATTAAGAGGGACATTCGGTGAAGGTTGAAATTTCATGGATTATACAAAGTAGCAAGGCAATACTCTCCAGAAGAATCTTACTAATACATTCCATATGCTGCAATAAAAAGGTACACACAGTAGTGTTTATACTACTTCTAAAAAATGAAACAAAGGAGAAATAGAAAATAATCATCTGTATATTGAGAACTTACCACACTGAGCACTGGTCAGACTCTCCAGACACAGATTTCATGTGTCAGCACACCCATGATTACTGTGTGACACAAAATGCCAAAAAGAGATTCCAGAATACTACAATCTGCATCCTCTAAAAACACATCAATTTTATGGCAAGAGAGAGTCACATATTCCTTCCATCATCTGTGCCTCTACGGAGCTGAAATATATTTACTACTAGAATGCAAGACAGTGAGTGTATTCTAATTCTACTTTCCCATAAACTCTACTCTTCCATATATTTGCCTATCCACATCCACAAGCTTGTTTCCAGAAACCTGACCATTCCTGAAACAGCATTTATGTAGCATGTGAGACCTTAGTTCCCCACTAATATAAATGGGCACAAGTTCATCCAACATAGAAATTAGCTATTAATATATTCATTGAGAATCATTTGCAGTAGATTCTCATTCAGACCTGAAGGTCTCAGGCCCTGGAAATTTATGTCCTCACAGTATAAAATCCAGTGAAAATACAATAGGCACAAGGCTGTGCTTGTCCCATTAGAAGTGAAAGATCTAAAGGCTCAATTTTGATCATTGGAGAAGAATAAAGATAAATTACCGAAACGAAACACTTTAGATAACATTACCAGAGGTAGAGAACTAAGGTCTCAAATGGTTTAAATACTAATAGGGATTTCAAAGAAATGTGGAAAGGGCACTAACCTGAGGAACATTTATGAGAGAAGCATTCATTCTTCTTGTTACTCTTCTCCGAAAAATTAAAAGCTAAAATAAATACAACAATCTTATGAACAATGCTAAACCATAAAAAAAATAACATAAGAAGGAAAACTATACCAGTAAACTTGACAACATTCCTACAGACAGGATAGCATGGAATGGTATATTTAATATGGCAAGGAAAATTACTACAAACTGTGGTCTTCAAACTTTAGCATGTACCAGGCACAGATATAAAGTATATGCATACCAGCTGCAAAAAACTACTACTCAGGGTTATTACTGGGAATGTAAGATTCAAGAACTAGAGTCAGAGGCAAATGGCTAGTGGGGCCCTAAGATGGATGCCTAGTATTAAATGAAGTTCATTTGCTATCAAACAAGAATACAATATCTGACCCTTTGGTTATGTTTCATTTCATTCTACCTGACAGATACACAACATCTCCTTTCGATGTTTGTCCTGTTGTCTTGTACAGACATAGATTCTACTTGTCAAATATCATATTTTGCTCAAATTGATAAATCATCATCAGGTCAAATTACAGCCATTTCCATCATCATCTAAGAAGGCTTTACTTTGTTTCTGAGGTAAAATGTATCTTTCCAATTACTCTTCCTTTAAATGAGAATTTCTTTTCTAAGTTGCAAGCATACCTTTGTGTGAGAGTATTGACCACTTAAATCCATGTGAACACATTTATAAGGAGAATATTACAGTTCAGGACACACCTGTCTTTAAATGGCATGTCCATGTGCTGAATGTTCTAAGACAGTGGTTCTAGGCCTTTCTAATGCTGAAATCTTTTAATACAGTATAAGGAATTCATGAGTTAATGTATGTACATGTGGCAGGCCTACCTGTAGATTGACAGAGGAGTGGCTTATCAGTTCCTAAGACCATCAGAAATATATGATTTATGGTAGACTCATGTGACCCCTGTGATAGGGTCAACTGACCGCCGCCCTTCCACAAACACACAGGGTCAAGACCCTCAGGTTGAGAATTGTTCTAGGCAATGCCAAGGCAAAATCATCAAGAGGCAGGCATGGTAGAAACTCTGCTACTCATAAAAGGATATGTATAGAGATACAATAAATCATTTCAGGGTATGCTCTTGGGATGATTCACACATTATGTCAGATCCATCAAAATATTACCACTGTTGGAAACATCTTCCTGAGCATGCATATATCTGTGTTTTGGGGTTGTTCTAGGCAGTTCTCAGGTTCCAAATTATTAGTAAATATTCCTCAAGTGACACTGCTCAGTTCCTGGCTGCTATCGATTTCCTTTATGATGATAATCCTCACAATTCCAGATGAAAGAATATATGTGTGACACAGGATTCCTGTCAAATAAACCTATACATATACATTCACCCATAGGCATACAAATATATGTAAAAATACATACATATATACATATTTTATGTATGTCTCAAAAATAAGAACTTACTGTGTATGTTGAAATAGTATTACTACACAAAGTCGTCATGACCACAATAATAGCATATATGCCACTCATTCTTCTTCTGTGCAAGATTATTATAGGTCTTTCTAAAAGAATTGTAGAATTCTTTTATAATATATAATGTATTATATAGACCTTATGTTTCTCTCATATCAAATGGTTTTCCAGACATTAGTCTCTTTCTATGTAACTGCGCAGGTAGTTTAGTGTGATAATAGGAAATAGCAGAGGGATGGCATGGTGTGGAAAGTCATACAAAATAAATGAGAATTGAAGAGGAAAAGGATGATTTTACTAAAAACAAGTGAATATCAACATTTTATGTCTTAAAACTAGGCCAGGCGATGAGCAAGTGCTGACACACTGTCTCCACTAACAATGTTTGAGGGCTGGACAGACTGAGCAATGAATTCTACAATTCTTTTAGAAAGACCTATAATAATCTTGCACAGAGGATATTTCCTACTTTAGAGACTTAATGAACATTGACACAGAATTCATGGAGCACCAATGACACTTTCTTACAATGTCAGGGTAACTGCCAGCTCAGAAAAGACACAGAAGTGAGGTGACAGAGCCACATTGAAAAGTTTGGCAGCAAGAGGCCCTGCTTGGAAAAGCCCAATAACTACATAACTCAGGGCTTAAAAGTATGTAAAGCAGTCAATTGAAGTAGAATGTGCAAAGATATTATAAAGGTTATATAGAAATTAATGAAATAGAATCAAAGATAATAAAATCATTCAACACAACTGACTTGTCTCTGTGTAGAGACTAAAGTACTGACAAAAGATTGTTCACTTAAATGAAACTAAATGAATGACTCTGTGTGTATTAGAAAAGTGATATAAAGGCAACACTGCAATGTATGACAATGACGTCAGTGCTACATTATGCAGTGCTGCGGAAAGTCATGTAAGAATAAATCAGAAGTGAACAAGAAATGGTGAGTTCCTTGAAAAAAAGAACAAATCAACCTCCTATAGTATATTACTAGAATATGCATCAAACAAGTGCTGAGACTGAAGCAGGAAGAATTTCTTCGAACTGTGTCTGAGGACTGGATAGACTTGCATGGAATTCTCCTTTCCTTAGACAAACCTTATCCTGATGTCAAAAACAGAATATTGCCTAAAACACAAAGAAGAGGAACACTAGAAAAGCTGGCTTTATCTCAATGCCCAAAGTAGGGGAACTCAAACCATTATATGCAAAGAAAAATCACTGACTAGTTGCCAGGATGTATACAGACACAGAGAAGGCCTCTAAATCCCATGGAAATGGAAGGACAGCTGTATTCATATCAGAACACAAGACTGTTTCAGCACTTACAAACTAATCAATGGAAGACCCCGAAGATGGAGATACAAATGAGAGAGGAAAAATGATCATGTAAATATATATATATATAAAGCCCTGAAGCAAAATATGACATTTGCTGAATATAAAAGCTCTCAAGAGTGTGAGAAGAGAGGGAACACATGCCAGAATCATAAAAACAAAGAGAACCACACCTAATTCTGTTAACTTGAATCATTATATAGTACCTCAAGATTGTTTACTGTGTTTTTGAAAGTGATGTGTATGGATGTTTGCTTGCATGTAGGTCTGTACATTTCTTTCTTTCTTTTCTTTTTTTCTTTAAAAAAGATTTATTTACTTATTTTACGTGAGTATACTGTAGCTGTCCATAGACATAGCAGAAGAGAGAATCAGATCCCATTATAGATGGTTATGAGCCACTACATGGTTGCTGGGAATTGAACTCAGGACCTCTGGAAGAGCAGTCAGTGCTCTTAACTTCTGAGCCATCTCTCAAGCCCGGTCTTTACATTTCTTATATGCAGTGCCTGCAGTGGCCATAAGAGGAAAATAGATCTTTTAGAACCGGAGTTACAAAAGACTTATATCACCATGTACGTCTTTGGAACTAATCTTGGAAACTGCAAGAGCAACAGGTGCTCTTAGCTGTTGACACAACTCTACAGCATTTTCCTTTCCTATCTATTTTAGAAACTTAAATGAATGAACAATGAGAGACTTCATGGATTATTGAGGACACTTTCTTATAGTATAACCCTGAGTTCGAGCTTATAAAAGACACAGGAACCCAAAAATGGGGTGACAAAGAAACACTGAGACGTTTTGGCAACAATGGGCACCACTTGGTTTGTTTTTAGTTTTTTTTTGTTTTTTTTTTTATTGGATATTTTATCTATTTACATTTCAGATGTTATCTCGTCTCCCCACCCCCACATTTGCTCATTATGAAAGCTCTGAAGAATGTGAGACTATGAGGAATATACGCCAGGACAATCAATACAATGAGGTTCAAACTTACAAATCCACACTAGAAAGGAAATACATAAAGATACAGAGAATGAAAAATGTTTTGACTTTGAATATAAACCCACATTAAACAAATACACAATGCAAAGAAACCATTCCAATGCTAGAAATGTGGGCAAGGATTTAAGCCATGTTCAAACCTTGGCAGACATAAAGGAATTCACAAAGAAGAACTTTATAAATGTACAGATTACAGTAAGCTCTTTGGCATGTCATAACTCATGCTTAGACTTTGATGTACATAACTACACGCCCTACGTGCATCATGGGAAAAACCTGACACCTGTATAGAATGTGGAAATTGCTATTATCCTGCATCAGACTTAGAAAAATCCACACTGCAGAGAAAACTTACAAATTAATGATTATGATAAATCCTTCACTTGGTGCTCACGTATTAGAAAACATCAGAAATTCATACAGCAGAGGAAAATTCCAAGTGTAATAAATGTTCCAAAGGATATATCCAGAAACAACTTAGGAGACATCAGACAATCCACACAGGAGAGAAGCTTTACGAATCCCATGAACGTGAGAAATCCTTTACCATTGATTCATCTCACATCAAAATGTTCATACAGATGAGAAACTTCACAAATGCAATGAATGTGGAAACAGTTTTATCAAGAAACATCTTGCCCCACCCAACTCCTTTGCTTGTCAAGCACTCTGTGCCAAGCCAAGCTGCCCTGAGCAGCCTGCTAGCACAGGGGGACCTCAATTCTCCCGCCACCTCTCTACCCACCTTCACTGGACCTCTGGCTCCTGAACCATACAAACCTGCAGGTCCTGAAACATACGGAGTAAGGATACCCATCAGAGGCCTGCCACAGCAGGACCATTGAGGTTTACCTCGTCTCAGTATTTACTACAAAAACATCCAGAACATCTCACAAGGAGGAATAAAAGAGTCATAAGAGTCAGATGGAGGGAGTGAACTGGGATGTAAGGAGAATGAAGAGGAAAACAGGGGATTGAGCATCAGGTGTGGGGAAGGATAGGAGAAATGGACAGATGGCCAGGAAAGTGAATGAAAATCTCCAACTGACAGGGGTGAAGAGGTGGGGTCGTCTTCAGGGTGAGCCAGAGACCTGGGATAAGGAAGGCACCCAATTATCAATGGAGGTGATGTCAGCTGTGAGTCACAACATTGGGGATAATGAACCTTGAAGAGGCCACCTCCTATAACCAGGCAGGATCTCCAGTGGAGCAATAGAGACGCCAACCCACCCACAAAATTTTCAACCGCAAATTCATCCA